TCTTGTCATTCCGAGTGCGTTGGTGGGTGGACATGGTGACGAGCAAGAGGAGGAAGCAGAAGAGTCTGCGGTTGCTTCAGGGTCGCCTTCTCCGGAGGATACTCGTCCACAGTTGTCTCCTGTGGCGTCTGGTGCCTCCATTGAAAAGGAGCCTCCCGGTGCTTCGGCTGCGGGTGTCGCTGGTGGTGGCCTTCATGCCGGTCCGAGGGGTGATCCGGGGGTGCGGACCGAAAGTGAGGACAACACTCAGCGGCGAGGGAGGAGATATGGCAGTGGAAGCGACGGAGCCAACAGAGCCTCCGGCCCGACGCTTTTTTTTTTCGCCATCACCCGGCGAGGACGTTGCAGGAGCGGAGGGCGACCCGCGGGCGGATTGCCCAGCGGTGGTTCCCAGTGCTTCCGCGCCTGCCACTCCGATTCCGTCCGTCAACGGCGTCGATTTTCAGGCGATACCCGATGCGTTGGTACAGCAGGCCGACAGTGATGGCGGTGTGGCAGATGCTACTGCTGGCCTCATTCCCTTTGTGTTTCTTGTTGTGGTCGCTGCGGCGGTAGTGGTGGTGCCTCTTTGAGCGGCCGCGGCGGCTGGGCGCAATCAAACTGCGGCAGGGCGACAGTATTTACTTGGCAGATTGACCCCGCACTCAAGATGTGCAAAACCGTAGCAATAACACTATAATACACTCACCGCATTCCCCGTTTCCTTTGCTTGCGGGTGATGGGCAAAATGACCGGTCTTTTATTGCATTGTTTGTTATTCTGGGAAAAGGTGTTTTTGTTTTATTGCTAGGAGGGTTTAGCTTCCGTGAAAACTGTGTGTGAACGAAGTAACATGGAAAGAAAAGACATTTCCCAGCACCACATGTATACACTCCTTTTTTGATGCGATTGGGACGAGGGGAAACCACCGTGCTCTAATCATGAGTAAAAAGTAAAGGAAATGTTCTCCAATGGAGGCGGGGTCGTGCCAGTAGCTGTTTCTCTGAAGGACAGGAACGGCTGCCTCTGCCTCCGTAATTGGTGCATGCGGCTTTATCTTTTACACTTTTGCTTGTTTTTGTGACTTTGCTTTTTTTTTTTTTTGTGTGTGTGTGCGTCATTGCGAGAATGTGGACCTCAAATAATTTCTGTGCTTCGGCTTTTAATCTGCATGCGCCCTTTTTTTTTTTGCATTCCCGATTTTTTGCATCACTTTTTGATTGGCTGTGTGTATTTCGGGTGCTTTGCTGCACTGTGGGTAGTGTGTCTTAATTCCTTCTGTCCCTGCTGTTCTGATTGTGAAAACACGCTGTGGGTCAGGGTGCATGGCTCCGTGGTTGCGGCACTATTTGTTGTGTTTGCGTTGGGGCAGCCCCGACAAGACTGCCAACGTGTGGCTCTTGGGTGTCTCGTTGGGCTCATTTTCGTCTCCTGCGCGATGGACTCCCGTCTTCGGCGCACCCTTTCGTGCAGTGGCGTCAGCGCAAAAAGGTGGCAGTTTTGTTGTTGTTGCAGCTTCAGCTGTTCGGTTTTTCCCTCTGGTATTGTGAGGTGCAGGTGTCGGAGGTGGCGGCAATGTGCCGAAGATAAGGAAGGAGGAGGATGGTGCGTGCGTACGTGCGTGCGGGAGGGCCCTGCGGTGTTGGGGCGGTGCGCACTGTTTGCGGGCTTGATGCGCCCCTTTGGTGCATGGCGTGTCTTGGTGTGTCCCTCTTGCCGTGTGTGGTGCCAGCCGGCTCTTCACGATTGTGGCAATGGCGTGTTGACAGCTGTGTTTGGGTTGGCGTTGGCGGTCCCACCCTCTGGGGCTACGAGGGCGTATGCGTCACAATGAGCGACACCAATCGCGCACGACGCCTGGTCTGCAAGCAAGTGACGCACCGATTGCCGACGCGGCGCGGCCCTCTTGCCTTTTTCGTCCCTCTGGTAGCCTACAGTCTGATGTCTAGCCGTAGTGGTCTCCTCTTTTCTCACTCCTTTTCTGTGTGACCGCATGCACTGACCACAACAATTGTACAATATAATTCTTAAAGAGTGCAGGGCTGTGCGTGTGTGTGTGCCTGCTGCCGTGGATTGGAGTGTGTGTCGTGCGTGGTGTGCGGCGTACGGTGCATGCCTGGCCGCTGCCCTCTCCTCATGTGGTGTGCCCTCTGTGTGTGTCTGCCGCACCTCTCTTCTCCCCTGTTGCTCTCCATGTCCCTCACTGTGCAGATCAGCTCCACACCACTGAACGACCACACTCACGATTATGATGTGCCGTCTGCTGTGCGCCCTGTTGGTGCTCGCCCTGTGCTGCTGCCTGTCCGTGTGCGCGGTAGACACTGCCCCGACTGAACCTCAAATTGAGGGAAAAGGCGCCAGCCTGCCGTCCACTACATCTGAGACTAAGCCTAAGACTCAAGATGCTGCCGAAGCAACTCAATTGCGCTCTCCAGAAGAAGACACTATTCTGGATCCGGAGAATCAAGTTGATGCGAGGGGAAAGGACACCAGTCCGCCGTCCGCTGCAGCAGAGGGAGCACTTCGAAGTAACGGTGAGTCAGGTTCACGGAGCCAGGAGTCCGGTGCGGCGCAGGGAAACACCGCCAGTTCATTACCCCCTGCACCAGCCACTGAGCCTAGCAAGAAAACTGAGACGGATCCGGGGGATAAAGATAATTCTGAAAAGATTGTGACGCCTGAGGATACCTTCGAGACGACGACGACCACTACAACAAAAGCACCAGCCACGACCACGACCACTGCGCCAGAGGCACCAAGTAATATGACCAGGAATACAGTGGCGCCAACTACGACGACCACCCGCGCACCGTCACGTCTTCGCGAAATCGACGGCAGCCTCAGCAGCTCTGCGTGGGTGTGTGCCCCGCTGCTGCTCGCCGTATCCACGCTGGCGTACACCACCCTTTGCTGAAGAGGTGTATGCGGGCTGTGCGTGCCAGCATTCAACCACGGGGATTTGTGCGCGTCTACTGTGGTGCGATGTATAAAGTATGAGTAATTATGATGATCTTTTTTTGCTTTATTTGCTTCAGCTGCCGTACTGTGTGCTCCGCGTTTTTCCCACAACCGCCACGTTGAACGCATTCCGGACATAATCATATGCATGCGCAGCGGAGCCTTGGGTTTGTTTTTTTGTTTTTTATAACTTCTGATTTGCGGGGCGGTGTGTTTTTGCAATTGCACTGATTCCATCTTCTCTATAGTGTGTGCAAGCTGCTGGCGTTTGTTGCTGTGCGGTGGCTGGGTGTGGTGTAGCGGTGGTTTTTCTTTTGTTGCTTCGGCTCTGCGTTGACGTGTTGTTAGTTTGTGCTGAAGGCTACACGTAACTGACAGGAGTGATGATGGCGATGATGATGACTGGCCGTGTGCTGCTGGTGTGTGCCCTCTGCGTGCTGTGGTGCGGTGCGGTTTTTGGACGCGCGATGGACGATTACTGCAGTGAGGGTGGAGGGAACGGTTTGAGGCACACGAGTAATGGTGGAGATGACGGCGTGTCTCTAAAGGCGGACTGCGAGGTGTTATCCACTCGAATGGCATTAATAAAGGCGGTTGAAGCTGCGGATGAACAAGAAATGGGTGTTACAGGCCCATCTCACGATACCGGGGAACCACTGCAGAATGATACGAAGGGCAGTGCAGCGCCTGGTCCAGGAGGAGGTATTGTCGCAGGTCAGCCAGAAGCATCACCGCCGAAGCCCAAAGGATCAGGTACAGAAGGACAGCAGGGAAAACCAGAAGGGTTGGATCCAAATGGAGGAAAGGAAGTAGATAAGAGGGATCACACGGACGGTAAAACAACCGAGCCCCAACACCAAAGCGTTGATCAATCATCTTCTTCCTCTTCTTCATCTGGCAGCCCTGGCACTCAGAGCGGTGAAGAACACAACTTGGAGAATAATTCCAAGAGTAATGAACCCTCCGATGATTCACCGGAAGATGACGAAAGTGATCCTCTTAGCCAATCCGACAGTCGTGAAGAGAAGGCGGAAGAAGAACCAAAAAAAACAGGAGACAAAAAAAACTTAAGTCATGAGGCACCAACAGAGACACGTGGAAGTCCAGCCAACGACGCAGGAATACAAACGGCAACACCATCGCCACCACCAGCAACAATGAATGGACCGTCCAGCACTGAGGATTTACCACCCGTGCAAGCGCCACAACGCGTCCAAGACGACAATGCAGAATCAAGGCCACCATCACACACGGCAAACGGTGATGCCGCCAATAATGAAGCTGACAATAGCACTGAAGAGCGCATGCCCAACAATGATCCAGCAGCTGATGGTGCAGGGACAGCAGAAGAAAAACAAAATGAAAGTAAAGAAGCCAATCCAAAAGAAAAACCAGTCGAAGCCACAGCCATGAAAAATGACACGGCGACGACTGGCGACAGTGACGGCAGCACCGCGGCCTTCCACACCACCTCCCCTCTTTTGCTTCTTCTTGTTGTTGCGTGTACGGCTGCTGCTGCTGTGGTGGCCGCGTGAGAGTGAGGGAGAGAGAGCCGTGCACCGCCCGCACACACACTCGTCTTTCCCTCACTCTCTCTGTGTGTGTCCCCTTGCATGGACTCTCGCCCTCACCTCATCCCACGAAGCACGCACATAATGTGCCCATTGTATATATTGCATGCACACCCATGCAGGCCCGTTGGTGCTCTCTTTTGCACGACACGCACCGCTGCCGTCCTGCCTGGCTGCATGGGCGGAGCACCGTAACTGTTTCTGTTTTGTTTTCATTGCATTGAGTGGGCGACCTCTCTCTCTCTCCCTGTGTGTGTGTTTTGCTTTACGGGAGCAATGAGAGTGTGTGCGCTGGTCGTCCCACGCTTCGGCTTTTTGTTTTGTTTTTCATTGTTTTGTGGTTGAGAGCACCCATTCCGCGGGCTGCGTGTTTGTATGTGATGATATGAGTAATTTGCGTGTGTGCTATCTGCCTCTCTCTGCCGTTGCTTTCTTCTGACTCTCTTGTACCGTATTGATGCTCTTTAATTATATACGCTGACAAGCACACAACCACATATACACCATTTCGCTCACATTGTGGAGCGGTGTAAACGCTGAGAACGCACACATGCAAAAGATTTTGGCTGCGGCGGCCCTCGCGAGGAGGGAGGATGTGAGCCCTTCATATGCCTTCACGACGTGCTGCTGGTGTGATGTTGGCGGCGTGCAATCAGTGAGTGTTGTTGAGGCTGCCTTGGGCGAGTGTGGATTGATTCCCTCTTAGCAGCTGCACGTGCCGAAGTGTCTCTCTTGCTGTGAACTTGCCGACGGGGTATTCTTTGCCTGTGCGGGGCGATGTGCGCCTGTGGCGGTTGAGGAGCGGGTGTGCTAGAGGAGACAGCAATAAAAGGACTGGCGGCAGCGCGCGGGTGCTGCGAAGGGTCGTTGTGCTCTTTTGCATTCCGCCGGTTGCTTTGCTGGGTATGGGTGTCGCTCGGTGCGTGCTGACGCGTGGCAGAAGCACCCGCTGTGGCTCTTACTGCTATTGGTGGCAGTCGCTGTGTGTTATCGGTGCACTGTTCTTCCTTCTCATTCAGTGCGTCTGTGTGCATGAGTTGTTGTTGTTGGGAATGACTGCGGCGGGGATGACGGTGCCGCCTACTGTAGGTGTCGGTGCTTATTCTTTCATCCCTTTTTATTAGCCTGTTTTTCCTCATTTCTTTCATTCTCTTACGAAGAAAGCAAACAAGCACTAAACGCTACTGTGAAATTGTAAGGCACTGAAAGGACCAACAGCACACACACACCGCCCACACACACATATTTATATGCTCTCACGTGTTTCTGCAGCTGTCATGGCACTCCGCACACACAACCGTCGCCGCGTGACCGGATCCAGCGGAAGGAGGAGGGAAGGAAGAGAGAGTGAGCCGCAGAGGCCCAACATGTCCCGGCATCTCTTCTGCTCTGCGGTGCTGCTCCTCCTCGTCGTGATGATGTGCTGCAACACTGGAAGAGCTGCGCAAGCTGATGAGCCAACGTCAGATCAGGGATCTTCACTGGGAAAACATTTTGTTTGGAGAGATAAGAAAGAAGAAGAAACAGTGAGTTTGCTCTATGCTCCCAGTCTTGTTGAGGTGAATGGTAAAGTGTTTGCCGTTGCCGAGGCGCTGTGCAAGAAGAAGAATGAAGTTGGAGGAGACTATTACTTTACTGAGATTGCCTCGGAGCTCCTTGAGTTGAGTGGTGAAAACCTAAAAATGTTGGGTGGACGTAATTTGAGGACAAAGGCACTGGAGAAATGTTCTTCCGAAGAAGGCAAATGCCCCTCTCAGTCAACGAATCGCGCTGGTTCCAAAAATTTCCACAGCGTATATGTGAGCCTGCCAACAACAGTTGTGAAGGGAAGTGATATTTACATGCTTGTTGGAACTTACATCAGGGAAAATGTCGCTGTTTGTCAGGGTGGGGCTGGCGCGGATTCATGGGGTCTTTTGCTGGTAAAGGGGAATGTCAGTGAAGAACAGGACAAAGGAATTGTTTGGGAAGATACTGACGGTCTCCCGTGCACTTCGTTTGTAGAACTTTACGAATCCTGGCCACAGCTCATTGGAAGCGGTGGATCGGGTATTAAGATGGATGACGATACGCTTGTGTTCCCGTTGGAAGCCGTGAAGGAGGACGGCACTGAAAGTGAAGAAGAGAAAAGAAAGAATAACAACGTTTCTCTGATCTTATACTCCTCCAAGGATACTAATACTTGGACGCTGTCGAAGGGGATGTCTGCCTATGGCTGCAGTGATCCCTCCGTCGTGGAGCGGGAGAAGGGAAAACTCATGATGATGACTGCGTGTGATGATGGCCGCCGCAGGGTGTACGAGTCCGGTGACAAGGGGGATTCGTGGACGGAGGCACTCGGGACACTCTCGCGCGTGTGGGGCAACAACCAAAAGCGACATGAGAAGGGCGTTAGAAGCGGGTTCATCACAGCGACGATTGACGGTGTTGAAGATAAGAGAAATGTGATGCTTGTCACTCTGCCGGTATATTCCGAGGGGGACAGTAAAAAAGACAATGGAAAGGGTGAACTCCATCTTTGGCTGACGGACAATACGCACATTGTTGATATTGGGCCGGTATCCGATGATGACGCTGCCGCCAGCTCCCTGCTGTACAAAAGTGGAACTAATAATAATAATAAGGATGAGTTGATTGCGCTGTACGAGAAGAAGAAGGACGATGGGTACAGTCAATCATCCGGTGTGGTCTCCGTGGTTCTGACTGAGCAGCTGCAGCGTGTGAAGGATGTGCTGGCGACCTGGAAGGAAGTGGACGACCGTGTCTCCAAGCTGTGCACTCCTTCAAATACTGAGAAGGATCGTCCAACTAGCACTCCCTGCAGCACTACTGATACGATCACAGCTGGGCTGGTTGGCTTTTTGTCCGGCAACTTCTCTGATGGCAAATGGAGGGACGAGTACCTCGGGGTGAACGCCACAGTAACTGGTCCTGCAAAAAAGACAGAGCCTTCCGATGGCGTGACATTTAAAGGACGTGGTGCAGGGGCGGAGTGGCCCGTTGGCAAGCAGGGGGAGAATCAGCTGTACCACTTTGCAAACTACAACTTCACTCTTCTGGCGACGGTGTCCATCGACGGTGAGCCGAAGAGTGGCAGCGTCCCTTTGATGGGTGTGCGTGCGGGCAGTGACGGAGTAACCAAACTTGTGGAGTTGTCGTACGGCAGCGGAAAGAAGTGGCGGGCGCTGTGCGGTGACAGAACAACCGCGGAGCACAGCAGCACTTGGGAGGCAGAGAAAACGTACCAAGTGGCCATTGTGTTACAGAACGGCGCCCAGGGCTCCGTGTACGTCGATGGTCAGCGTGTGTGTGAGAGTGTGCAAAGTAAATTGGAAAATACAGAATCGAAAGGGATTTCTCACTTCTACATTGGAGGGGATGGAGGCAATGCAGAGAACACAGCGGGTGACGAAGATGTGTCTGTGACCGTGTCGAACGTCCTATTGTACAACCGTCCGTTGACATTTACTGGTGGGAGTGCCGATTTGGAAGAAGCAACGGGTGATGGCGGCACTGTGCGTGGGAGCGGACTGCTGCCGTCGCTTCTTCTGTTGTTGGGACTGTGGGGGTTTGCGGCTCTGTGAGGAGTGACCGGCTGCCGCGTGGGACACTTGCGCCCTCCCGAGCACAAAAATAATATTCCCATAGGAACAAATTTATTTCATAAAATCCTTTTTTTTTTGTGAGTATTTTAATTTCTTTTTGCTGTTTGCTTCTTTTTTTACTTTTTTCATTTTTTTCTTTAATCTCTCACTCCCCCATTCCTCTTTTTTTTTTTTTTTTTGCTTTTGGGGCAATCACCATGGACGTTTTTTCTTTTCTACTTTTCCCTCTTTCAATTGTTTCTTGCTGCACTCTTCCTGTGAGGGGTGCCGTGTGTTTCCGCCCAACTGCTCCACTCGCACACCCACCGACACGCTCATGACGACGGCCCTGTGCGCCTCGCCTGCTGCACGCATGAGGAGGGGCCGCGACGAACGGCGCGCTGAGGGAGCCGTGACGTGTGGGCGTGCGACGAGGGCCTGTGGGGCGGAGCACACATTTCTTTCCCTCTTGTTTTGTTTTGTTTTCTTGCGGCCAGGGCGGGCAGACACCCGCAGCGCCACACACACAACCAGACTCTGCCGCCATGTTTTTCTTCTGTTTTGTTTTCGTTTCTTTTTTTTTTTTGTGGATGTGAGTGCGTCGCCACCGTGTGTGATTGTTGAGGTTGTTGGGGCCGTACCGCATGTACCGCTGCCATCCAGCTGTGCCTCTTGCCTTCCTGATGTGCCTCCCTGTGCTCCTTCCTTTTTTTTCCGTTTCTCCAGCACACACACATAAGTATTTGCACAGTGGTCTGCATGAATGCCATTGGCGACAGCGGGGCGTGGGCTTGCGTCCCGTGCTGAAATGATGACGCGGCTGCACTATGCCCGCCGTGTGTGAAGGTGTTGCCTGCTCTTGTGACCATTCTCACCTCTGTTTTTGCACTTCCGGTTGCGGGCGTTGCTCGTTGTGTGCTGGCGCGTGACGGACGGTGCCACGATGGCCTCCTCTGGCGATGACAGTCGCTGTGCTCTCGGCGCTCATCCACACACTCTTTATTGTCTCTCTGTGGGAGTGATTGTGGCAGGGCATTGCTGCGAGCGTGATGGGGACACGACGGCGCCACCCCTCGAGAAGGTCACACGCTCTGTTGGTTGTGGAGCGGTGAGGCGGTTTGCCTGCAGCCCGACTGACAGAACCGCACAGTCGTTTCATTGCTGTCACTCCGTCGGCATCACCCGCTGCGGTGGTGTCCGCAAGAGCCGCAGCCCCGATGAGGATGGCCTCGTAGTTATCTGGCAGCTCAGAACTTCAGGCCCTTCGCCCTTCAGGATTGCTCTTGCTGCTCGACTGGCGCAGCACCAGCCCTACATGGCTCTCCTGCATGAGTGCAGGCACCAGAGTGCCCCAGCGACGAGGCTCGTTGGCTGCACCGACATCCACCAGGCCTGCAGTGGGCGTGCCGGTGGCGTGGTCATCTTGGTGCGCCACACCTTGCCGTGCGAGCGCCTGTCGCTGCTGGCACCAACTGCGTGGAGACAACCGTCTTCCGCGTGTGCCCACCGGCCTGCTCCAGCATGTACGTGGTGAACCTCTGCAACCTCCCCACGGCAATGGCTCACGTTGCGAGCAACATTCGTCGCCCTGCTCCTGCAGAGCCCATTGCTGGCGTCCTGAATTCACATCATGAGCTGCGGGACGGTTGCTCACCATCAACGACGGCAGTAGAGGACCTCGCCGCCACCCCAAGCGGCATGGAGATTGAGCTATCCGACGACCCGGCACAGGCAACGCGGATCAGCGGCCGCAGCTTCTCGTTTCCCGACGTGACTGCGCAACGCGTACTGCGTGTCTCCCACTGGACGTCCACCCGTTTACATGGACTCGGACCACCATCTGCCATGCCACACTGCAGGGACGAAGGACGGCATCCCGCGACAGGCAGGCATGCTGCCACGACGGAAACATGTCGCCGTTGTCCTGCGTGAAGCTGACTGTGATGCTTCCACCTCGGCGTGTGGAACACCTCTGGCCACTGTGACCAAATGGTTGGAGATGCACCGAGGCACCGTACGAGCGGCGGCCGTGACAGTCCCACAGGAATCTGGACGGACGGAATGTAGCAGGCCGAGTGTGTTGCAGCGGCAGCCTGCCACGAGCTGAAATGCTCCGCAAACGGAAGGACCGCAATCATGCCCTCCACTGTGGCTTCTCCATGCTGCCAGTGGTCCGTGCGAAACAGCTTGGTGCCCTCTTGATCCAAGGCCTTTGATACCCTGAGGCATGGTGGCGCCACGTCCCTGCCCTCTGGGATCGGCTGTGCTGCGGTGCTGTTGGGACCGCGTCTGTGCTCTGCCTCCGTTGGAACCTCTTCCCGACGTGAGCACCGCCACTCCTTGCCGACAAACAAGCGGCTGATTGACGTCCTCCTGCCCACTCCTCGGCAGACCGGCACGCGCCCTGCAGATCACAAGCAACCCTTTATGTCGGTGGTGCTGCCCTCCCACACTGAAGAGGCAGGACCACCTCGACCTCCTCCGGAACCTCCACCTGGCGTGTCGACGGCACCTCCTCGTAGAATGACGAGCAGCAGATCAACGTCGCCCTCCCCAAGCTGCAGCAGCGTCTTCTCGTCCGTCCACAATATGAAGGCACACGCCCGACGCACTAACTCTGGCACTCCAATCGTTGCAGAAGGCCTCACATGTGGATTCTGCGACAGCTCCACGGTCTTCCCAACAAGTGCCTCACGCGCAGATCACTACCGAAAATGTCAAGCGTATCAACGAGCAAAAGACGGACAACGCACCTCTGCAAGCTCCAATGACAGCCGTAGCCCTTCAGCCACTCCTCTGCCGCAACCCCCACCAGCCGCTGAGCCCCGACAATCCACGGGAGGCCCTGCCGCACACGCTGTGGGAATGCCGCCGTCCTCGACAACTCAGCATCCGACTATTGGGAACACCACCTCTCGCACGACAGCATCGTTCAGAAAGAAGGAAAAACTGGCCACATCGCCACGGACAGCCCGCAGGCCATTAAAGAACAGTGGCCGCAAAGTATAACAAAACAAATACCTCCCTTTTCTCAGCATAGAAAAACGTCACCTTCACACTCTCAATTGCCCCAATGAATTCATTGCGTAATACCGCTCTGAGCTGCAATACTTCCTGGTATCATCCATGTCCCTTGTCGACACATTGATGCGGGTGGGCGCCAGTCAATTCCTCCCAATGACGGTGCATGTCTGCGACGCACCCTCAGATCCAAAAGGCACGTCCCTCACCACAGCCGGGATCGACTTCTCCCTGTGGGCACGCATCGCTTTGTCCGAGAAGCAGGAGTACGTCAGGCTGGCAGCAAAGCACCCTCCGGCACAACACATCAAAAACATCATCACAAACAGAAGCACCAGCAGCGATGTAGACAGCGGGGTGATGTGGACCAACGGACACATGCTTTACGTAAAAGAAAATACTTCATGGCTTGAAAAGAATAGGAAACACTCACAATATCTCAAAAGAAAAAAAAATACAAAAAAAGAATTTAGGCGTCCGCAGTCAACTCAGACCACCAATTCGAAAACACGGCTAATGGGTGCACTCGACCACAACACAAGTAAATAAAACAAAACAAAAAGCCGAAGCGTGGGACGACCAGCGCACACACTCTCATTGCTCCCGTAAGGCAAAACACACACACAGGGAGAGAGAGAGAGAGGTCGCCCACTCAATGCAATAAAAACAAAACAGAAACAGTTACGGTGCTCCGCCCATGCAGCCAGGCAGGACGGCAGCGGTGCGTGTCGTGCAAAAGAGAGCACCAACGGGCCTGCATGGGTGTGCATGCAATATATACAATGGGCACATTGTGTGTGTGCTTCGTGGGATGAGGTGAGGGCGAGAGTCCATGCAAGGGGACACACACAGAGAGTGAGTGAAGGACGAGTGTGTGTGCGGGCGGTGCACGGCTCTCTCTCCCTCACTCTCACGCGGCCACCACCGCAGCCGCAGCCGCACACGCAACAACAAGAAGAAGCAAAAGAGGGGAGGTGGTGTGGGAGACCGCGGTGCCGCCGTCACTGTCGACAGGCTTCGCCGTGTCACCTGTTTTCGCGTTTGTGGTTTGCGCTGTTGTGGATCCTGCACTCTGAGAGACCGTATCATATTTGTTGGCTGATGTAGCTTCACCATCGGAATTCGTTCCGGGTGGTGTGGCGCCTTCAGTGGATGGTTGGTTCGGATGATTGGTGGGCGGAGTGCCTTCTGTGCCAGCATCAGACCGCAGGGCCACGGTTGCCGCGGTACTGCTGTTGCTGTCGCCTTTCTTTGTTGCATCACCCATTTCTTCAAGTGTCGTGACTGACAATCGTGAATTTTCCTCTCCACTTGTTGAAGCGACAGCTTTCACGCCAGTTCCCTTCTTCTCTTGAATGTCTCCTACCACAGACTGTTGAGAATTCTTCGTTTCATTGCCGTTTTCGTGACGTTTCTCGTTATCAGGGCCAGCTGCAGATGTGGATGATGGAATTGCATGCGGTGAGCTGTTCGGTAATGGAGGCTGCAAAGGGCTTGACAAATCTTTTTGATTTGTATTAACTGTCAAACTGCCACTTAATGATGTTGTTATCGTTCCAACTCCATGAGTTCCATTCAATGATGGTGACTGTAAGCCCTCATTGTTACGCAACTGCGGGTCCTTTACTGAAATCAGGTGGTTTTCAGGCTTTTTTACCTCTTTACTTGTTGCATCACCCCTATTTTTTTTTCCAGCATCCTTAGCACCTTCTTCTCTTGCTTTTCCTTCCTCATCACCACCAGCACCGTCTTCGCTTCCTGCCGGAGGGTCTTTAGGAGGTGGTGAGATAACTTCTTGTTGTTGAACTTTTGGTGCTGGTGTTTCTGGGGCTGATTTTTTTGTTTCTGGCGGTTCAGAACGTGTTGAATCCTGTGAATCTCCTCCCTCCCTCTCAAGATCACCGGACAC